TATATGTATGTGTGTATACATGAGTTAGTATATATGGAGCTCTGTCTTCTTAAAGAGCCTAGAAGCAATGAAACCCAAAAGCAAGGCGCAGAACCAGCACCAGATACTGGTTCCTAAATACTATTCACCAGTAAAAGGAACTAGAGCTTCTTGGAGAAATGACTGATTCTAAGAACGGGGCAAAGAAAATACAGAGTAAGCTCAGACCATCTTATAAGGCCAGAAAGGAAGAAAGTGCTCAAAAAATATAAAGATTGGGGCATGTCAAAGTCACCCAGAAGCTAACCTGAAAAACCTCCCAATGACCAAAACCGGAACAATTTACAGCAAAATAAGTAAAGTAGCATTTGATCATAACTAAAGTATAAAATTAATATCCATGAAGCCCATGCTATTATAAATGATTTAATAATTAGAAGGAAATAAATGGGAAAGGGAAAGACAAATCTTTACCGAAAAATTTCAACTACTCCCTTTCCAGGAGGTTAGATGCCACCTAGAGTGGGCCGGATCTGGTGACATTTTGCAAAGAACACAGAATGGAAGGCAGAGTATTAAAGAGGGCACGTTCTGCATGGAGCACTGGGTGTTATGCACAAACAATGAATCATGGAACACTACATCAAAAACTAATGATGTAATGTATGGTGATTAACACAACAATAAAAAATTTTAAAAAAAGAATTGAAGACAGAAAATGGTAACTTTACATGGGCACACCTGGTAAACACTAAATTAAAAAAGGATTACATTAAAGGAAATGAGGTAAGCACTATAAGTGCACTCTGTACTATGTCTGCCACTTTTCTATAAATTTAAACTTATTCCAAAATAAATAACTTAATTAATTCTTTAAGATTACATTTAAAAAAAAAATTCTCCCATACAACGTGTAACATTTAGCCATATTAGTGACTGGAAGAAAATAGAAGATATAAAATATGTCAATAATTTTGCAAAAAATCATAGCAAAGATCTCTCTGTTGCCAATATTGAAATGTTTTACTGAGTGCCTATTGTTTATTAAAATTTTTTAACTCTATTTACGTACTAAAAATATTTCTTTCTCCCAAAAAGCAAAATAATTACTGCTAATGGCTACCAATTAGCTGACATTATTCAAATGCTACATGGGATAGAAAGTAAAGTAAACTTGCACTGTATTTAGTATATAAAGGAAGTCAGTAACACAAAACTGATTCTTAATTTTTATAATCAGAGAAATAAATCACAAAGAACAGTTTGTAAAATGTAATACCACCAACTGAGTAAATATACTTCATAGATGACAAATACTGTGTTCCCAAGCTAACATTTTCTTACATTCTCCTGTTCACCACGTTTCAAAAGTTGAGTTTTTTAAACCTGTTATTTGGGATCTTGATGCTAATCAATGGCTACCTGAGGCTTACATGACATAACAACTTCTTGAGTGGACTGAGTTTGGGATGGGTTTGTATTTATCTACATGTGCTCATTCTTGAAATGAAGACAGAAAGGAACCAACAAAACATTAACAATGCCTAATAGGTTGTATTATGACCTACTAATAAAAAAGGTGATATTTATTTTTTATTTATTAATTTTTATTGTTATGTTAATCACCATATATTACATCATTAGTTTTGGATGTAGTGTTCCATGATTCATTGTTTGTGCATAACACCCAGTGCTCCACGCAGAATGTGCCCTCTTTAATACCCATCACCAGGCTAACCCATCCCCCCACCCTCCTCCCCTCTAGAACCCTCAGTTTGTTTTTCAGAGTCCATCGTCTCTCATGGTTCGTCTCCCCCTCCAACTAACTCCCCTTCATTCTTCCCTTCCTGCTATCTTCTTCTTTTTCTTTTTTCTTAATATATGTTGCATTATTTGTTTCAGAAGTACAGATCTGTGATTCAACAGTCTTGCACAATTCACAGCGCTCACCGTAGCACATACCCTCCCCAATGTCTATCACCCAGCCACCCCATCCCTCCCACACCCCACCACTCCAGCAACACTCAGTTTGTTTCCTGAGATTAAGAATTCCTCATATCAGTGAGGTCATATGATACACGTCTTTCTCTGATTGACGTATTTCACTCAGCATAACACCCTCCAGTTCCAGCCACGTCGTTGCAAATGGCAAGATCTCATTCCTTTTGATGGCTGCATAATATTCCATGGTATATATATCCCACATCTTCTTTATCCATTCATCTGTCGATGGACATCTTGGCTCTTTCCATAGTTTGGCTATTGTGGACGTTGCTGCTATAGATGTTGGGGTGCACGTACCCCTTCGGATCCCTACATTTGTATCTTTGTGGTAAATACCCAGGAGTGCAATTGCTAGATCGTATGGTAGCTCTATTTTCAACTGTTTGAGGAATCTCCATACTGTTTTCCAGAGTGGTTGCACCAGCTTGCATTCCCACCAACAGTGTAGGAGGGTTCCCCTTTCTCCGCATCCCCACCAACGTCTGTCATTTCCTGACTTGTTAATTTTAGCCATTCTGACTGGTGTGAAGTGGTATCTCATTGAGGTTTTGATTTGGATTTCCCTGATGCCGAGCGATGTGCAGCACTTTTTCATGTGTCTGTTGGCCATTTGGATGTCTTCTTTGCAAAAATGTCTGTTCACGTCTTCCACCCATTTCTTGATTGGATTATTTGTTCTTTGGGTGTTGAGTTTGATAAGTTCTTTATAGATGTTGGATACTAGCCCTTTATCTGATATGTCATTTGCAAATATTTTCTCCCATTCTGTCGGTTGTCTTTTGGTTTTGTGGACTGTTTCTTTTGCTGTGCAAAAGCTTTTTATCTTGATGAAATCCCAATAGTTCATTTTTGCCCTGGCTTCCCTTGCCTTTGGCGATGTTTCTAGGAAGAAATTGCTGCGGCTGAGGTCAAAGAGGTTGATACCTGTGTTCTCCTGTAGGATTTGGATGGACTCCTGTCTCACATTTAGGTCTTTCAACCATTTGGAGTCTATTTTTGTGTGTGGTGTAAGGAAATGGTCCACTTTCATTCTTCTGCAGGTGGCTGTCCAATTTTCCCAACACCAATTGTTGAAGAGACTGTTTTTTTGCCATTGCACATTCTTTCCTGCTTTGTCGAAGATAAGCTGACCATAGAGTTTGAAATTATTACATGTTTAAGAAAATAACACCTGCAAAATGCTTAACAGAGCACTGACTTGTTGTAAAGTGTTCAGTAATCTGGAGGAATTAATATCTAAAAATTTGCAAAGGACATTGTAAGATGAAACATAATCAGAATGAAGACTGAGAGAACCAAGTGGAATAGGAAAGATTAAAAAATTCATGAAGGGGTGCCTGGGTGGCTCAGTCAGTTAAGCGGCTGCCTTCAGCTCAGGTCATGATCCTATGGTCCTGGGATCAAGCCCCACATCGAGCCCCACATCGGGCTCCATGCTCAGGGGGAAGCCTGCTTCTCCCTCTCCCCTACTTGTGTTCCCTCTCTCCTGTCTCTCTCTCTGTCAAATAAATAAATAAAATCTTTAAAAAGAAAGAAAGAAAAAATTCGTGAAATTTTTGGAAATAATGGGCACATGTGTTGTATGGTGAAAATAACTATTACAGTCTATCATTCCTTAAAAAAGATAAAGTGCTATAAAAAGGTGTAAGAATGAAAAGGAAATGATGAAGAGGTGGGACAGAGAATTGACTTTTTGATTAAGTGTACGAAAGTGTAACTAAGAAGAATGGGAACATTTGATGGACTTGCAAATGTGGGAAGCTAAGGCCTAAGCAAATAAATTCAGGGTATGATATTCCCATCACGATGGTGTTGAGTGCTGAGCTTGCCAGAGGGCTGTTGTGGTGAAGTCTTTAGCAGTTGGAGAGAGCAGGACACAAATGAGAACTGGCTTTAGAAAACCCAAAGGAACATACAGCCAGAGCAGAAAGAGGATTACTGTTTCAAAGGCTGCCTATGGTTATCCTTCGATTGTACTCATTCTGTTTGAACATTTCTGTAAACCCTCGTTTTTAATATCAAAACAGATTTCCCATTTACCGTTTGAAATGTATCCCTTTACTGTGTTATTCTATGATAAATGAATGTGAAAACAGATAAACCTATTTCAATCTTCTTCTAGTAGGCTGGAATCCCTATTTTTCACCTGATTTGTCACCGTTTTCTTATAATACCATAGGCAAAGCTTCCTCAGACTACAAGAGAGGAAGCCAACATGTTTCTGTTCTTAATAATTACAGACTGCAGGGGAAGGGCACCAAAAATCATCAAGACTTGAAATGTAGTTTCAGTATACTCTATGTTTATGCTAGAGTGAACTGAAAAGCAAACTGGAAAGAGATCATGTTATGGCGAAAACTGTTGCAAAAGAAAAAGCAACTGAATTTAGATGTATTTTAAAGAAACCAGGGATTGAATGGCTCTCAGTCTAATAAACTGTAAGATTTGAGAATTTATTATCCAACATCTCTTTCAGATATATGTAGGGAATGATAGATTATTAGTATTCATGGATTTTCACTTAACTGATACTGTAGTAGTTTAGAGGATGGATTTTTTTTTAAAGACTTTATTTATTAATTTGAGACACAGAGCTACAGAGAGAGAGAGAGAGAGAGAGAGAGAGAGCATGAGCAGGGAGCGAGACAGAGGGAGAGGGAGAAGCAGGCTCCCGCTGAGCCAGGAGCCCAATGTGGGGCTCAATCCCAGGACCCTGGGATCCTGACCTGAGCCGAAGGCAGACGCTTAACCATCTGAGCCACCCAGGTGCCCTAGAGGATGGATTTAAATATCTCATTAAGAACAGTTTCTATTAAGAACCCCGAAGCTTAATGTCCATATTTAGAATCTTAGTATTTGATGGGGACAGTCCTAGTGGTCTTGAGAGGTTTTTAGTTCTTTTCTTTTCTTTTTTTACTGTTATATGTTTGGATTCTGTGAAAAATAGACATGCCCTTTAAATTATTTTGCCCTTTCATCTTCTCTGTTAAAAAAAGAAGAGAAAAGAAAAAACAAACTTGCCTATTTCTGATAAAAGATACAGATGAGAAGCCAGAAATTCAAATATGAACTGCTTTCTCACACTTTCACATGTAACTGATAAATACTGACCCCTTGGGAATAAGAGCAGAGGGCATCTGGAGCCCAGAAGAATCTCCTTGCGTCCCGGCTCCCACTTCTCTTCCAACCGCCTACTGGGGCTCCCCTCTTCTGTTTGGACCAGACTCCAGTGCCAGCGGAAGCTGCGCCTCACGGACACAGGTATCAGCAACTCTATCTGCATCTCTTGCTCTCGGCGCATCTCACTGGTACTGGTGCCCCTTGACTGTGCACACAGAATACAATGAATAGAGATTTTAAAATGCAGTCCGGTCAATTTTGCCTTGCAGGCAGACAAGCTAATCAATTCTGATTTAAAAATTACTTTTCAAGGTGAATTCCTTCCTGTAATTTTCATGGTTTACCATTGAATATAGCTGAGAGTTTTGTTAGCAAATATTTCTTAGATCACTTGGATTAACTACGTGAGTTAGGAGAGCAAATAGTCACATCAATGACAGTAGGATATGAGTAATTAATTATTTAATCAATGATGAATTTTTCTTGTCTATATAATAATGTGTTTCTCTATTTCACATCCACATCGAGACTTTGCTTATTTATGTGATATAGCTTCCACATTGTGATATGTTGCAGACCCGGCAAACAACTTTTAAAGGCATTATAAATATTTTTCTGTACAATCATGTTTTCTTAGGAGAAACTATTTTGTGGGAAATTACTAAATATCATAGGTAAATATAATGAACAAAGAGGTTTATATATTTCTAATAATTTTATAAAAGGCAACAAACCAGTGTAATTCTCTGGAAATATTAAAATATTTAATATTTAATATTTAGTAAAATATTAATTATCTGAAAATATTAAATATTGATATTTAATAATTAATAAAATATTTAACATTTAATAAAATTTAATGGTACTCGTAAAAAAGTGAACCTAAGAATTTTCAAATTTTTTGTGGAATCAGAATTCTATTTCACATAAATTCCTTTGTTTGATTTTAAAATAATATTTAAAATACTTGAAAGAAATTAACTCCTCAACAATCAACAATTTGCAAGGACAATTGCTTACTTTTACCCTATGCCTTCAAATATTATGGAAATACCACACACACCCCACAGAAGCACAGCTAAACCAAACTGGTCCTAATTGTAGGGCATTCATTTTTAACATCATGTTGGAAGAGGTGACGATGATCCTTTAGGAGATTATGGGAAGCAAATTGTCATTGAGTCATGAAAAAGAAACAGTGAAGATAAATGGAAAACAACCAATCAGGGCAGGATATGAGAGGAAAATTTTAGAATAAGCTGTTAGGTAACATACTTATCTTTATAATACAAATGACTCATACAAATGTTTTGGATAGGGATAATTTTTAAGTGTAGGGACAATTTTTAAGTGTAGTCTAAATATTTCACAGATCATAAGATCGCTGCTCTTCTAAAATTAATTTAAGACCACATCTGGAAAACTCCAGGTGGTAAGTGAATGACAGTACCTAAGCGTGTAAAGAGACATGCAGATCACTGATAAAAGAAAATAATCTGAGGAAAAAATCTTTCTTGGAAGTAAATTGCAAAGGTAAAATCATACATTGGTAGTTAAATGGCATGAAATACTAATTTCGGTGGTATACAGAAAACCCAGAAAGCGTAGAACCTCAAAACGTAGTTTTAAAAATAAAAACTGTCAATTTCTCTGACTTTTAGAATCCTATCTCAAAATTTCTCCAGGATGAATGTAAACATAGAACACATACAGAGATCAAACATCCTCCCTCCAAGGATAGGCAAAAGGAAAGTGAGTACTTTTCCCCAATCTTCAATGAGTCCTTATGTTATTTTCTGTTCCTTGTTAAATAATTTTTCTTTTTTTTTAAAGATTTTATTTATTTATTTGACAGAGAGAAACAGTGAAAGAGGGAACACAAGCAGAGGGAGCGGGAGAGGGAGAAGCAGACCTCCCACGGAGCAGGGAGCCCGACGCGGGGGCTCGATCCCAGGACCCTGGGATCATGACCCGAGCCGAAGGCAGACGCCCAACAACTGAGCCACCCAGGCGCCCAGTTAAATAATTTTTTTAAAGAATTTCATTATAGTTTAGCATAAGACACATTATGTCTAATTATTTTCAAGATTCTGTCATTTAAAAGATTTACCTGATGGACTTTACCCATATGAATAATTTACATGCTTTCTCAGAAAGAATATGAAATGAAGGAGTAAGCACATCTCTGTTTTAATCTTTAGAGATAAAAGAGCAGCCATATTATTCAGAAGTGAAAACACATACTTCAAACTTCAATCAGACAAAGATAACAAAAACTGAATCATCCAAAGAAAAAGATAAAGTTCATGTACAGGACCTAGCTTACCTGTCCTCAAATTGATTAACCTGAGTGTATTCAGTGATTCAAGTAACTTAAAACAGAAGCCACTGTTCCAAATAAGAGTCAGTTTGCCCAGTTTCATGAGGTTGCTTATTCTGTATCTTTTTTGTTTTAAGATTTTATTTATTATTTATTTATTTATTTATTTATTTATTTATTTATTTATTTATTTATTTGACAGAGAGATATCCAGCGAGTAGGAGCAGGAGGAGAGGCACAGGGAGAAGTAGACTCTCTCCCTAGGAGGGAGCCCATCCCAGGACCTTGGGACCATGACCTGAGCCTAAGGCAGACACTTAACTGACTGAGCCACTCAGGCACACTGCTTATTCTATATCTTATCATCTAAACAATAAAGCAGTTATGAAAAGCAAATATCCTTGGTTACATATTCCAGAAAATTAAAGTAGTTTGAGTGCTGTAGTCATACATTCATAACTGGGTCAAGTATGGAATTTATTTCTTTTCTACTTGTTTGGAAACAATTATGAATCTCCTAATATCATTACTGACTCATTCTAGGATCTTTTAAGAAATAAACCTTGATTAACATTCTTTAATACATGTTTGTGATTATATTTCCTTCTGTGCAATATCTGTGCTTATTCCTAATGTTGAGAACTTCAGTGAAGCTCTAGGGAGGAAATTGTGGATGTGCACACATATGATGTTACAAACTAATAAATATCATCTGATTGTGAATCAATAAAAATCATTTGGATACATACACTTTAGAAGTGTGTTTACATTTTTAAAACCCAGTCCATATACCTAATATTCCTCTTTGAATTCCTAAATTATTGAAATGAATCATGGGATTTTTTTTAAGATTTTTATTTATTTTTTGACAGAGAGACAGTGAGAGAGGGAACACAAGCAGGGGGAGTGAGAGAGGGAGAAGCAGACTTCCCTGCTGAGCAGGGAGCCCCATGTGGGGCTCGATCCCAGGACACTGGGATCATGACCTGAGCCGAAGGCAGATGCTAAATGACTGAGCCACCCAGGTGCCTGCTCATGGGACATTTTTTTGTAAAGTTAGAATCAGTGAGTTCCCTAAGAGATACATGGTACCAGAGTAGGCATGTAACTCTCAGTTCACCACTGTTTCCAACTGATCAATGTCCTTTTCAATTTATCATTCCCGGTTTGATGACATTTGAGAGTTAGGGTCTTGAAGCCATGGGAAAGTCTCCCTCAAATCCCTGCTCTTTAATTCAGTCTTTTCTTTTCTGACCTCCCCCGTGTCTCATTTTTTCCCTGGGCAGGGTCTTCAGTGCCATTTGCCTGGTGTCTCACTGTAGTGATCCTTGGAATCTGCTGTTTCTTTCTCCTTTTAGCAGCTGGAGCCTTGGAATTCAAGAATCTGTGCCTAGCACCAAATATCTCCTGCTTCAGGAATGACTATTTTTAGTGGTCTTCCTCTCCTGCTAGTTCCATAGCTACGATCCCTAGTTCTACCCAGGAAGCCCTTCCACCTTCACCACTAATGTCATTACTTGGCCACTTACAACATTGCTCAGAAGCCTCTGATGCCTGGATCATATTCAGGATATTTTCAGAAAAGCTTGCATTTAAGGTATTGTTGATGGTCAGTCAGACTGGGTGCAGAGTAAATTTCTCTCTCCTCCCTGACACCTTTTAATAAATTGTCTGGTCCTCTTGGTTCCATGTCTCCATTCTGCAGCTTGAATTTACTTTTTAAACTATTTATTCTCATAAACATATAATGCAATCATCAATACTTTTCTGCCGTACTATTCCAATCACTCCGAATTAACCCTGGGGTCAACAGACTTTGAAACTCCTATTGAAATTGCCAAATAAACTTCTACAAATATATCTCTGATCATGTCACCAAATGCCAAGAAAACATTAATGGTTTCCATTCTTTCCTGCATTATGTTGAAGTTCCCCTTCCTATATTTCTTTTCATGAATCATAATCTTATTTCATCCAGATAATTTTAAGCTCACAAGTCATGGCTCAAGGGCTACAGACTCTCACTGTTCTTATTAAGATTTAGTACATTTTCTTAAATAAATGTTTATTAATTTAATATACACCCTAGACAAGTTCCAAAGATTTAAATGGTTGATATTTTTCTAATGGTTGTTTTTATTAGTTATGTTTGTTTGACTGAGGAGCAATTCTACAGAGATTATCATGCTACTATTCTGGGAGGAAGAGTCCTCTATGTGTATTTTAATGTCCTCTTTAGAAGTGAAAACATTTAGGGCGCCTGGCTGGCTCAGTTGGTTAAGCGACTGCTTTCGGCTCAGGTCATGATCCTGGAGTCCCGGGATCGAGTCCCTCATCGGGCTCCCTGCTGAGCAGGGAGTCTGCTTCTCCCTCTGACCCTCTCCCCTCTCATGTGCGCTCTCTCTCTCATTCTCTATCTCTCAGGTAAATAAATAAAATCTTTAAAAAAAAGAGAAGTGAAAACATTTATATTCCATAGCCACAATTTTCCTGACATCTTAACATATAATGGATGCTTATATAGTACCTTATGGGTGGAAATATAGTTTACATATCAATCTTGCATCTAACAAATTATAGCAACATCAGACAAACAATTCTGCTGTATTTATGTGATGTCCATTTTGATCTTAACTCACAGAGAGGAAGGTGAGGAACAACCTTAGGATGATTCAAGTTATATAATCAGAGTACCTCACAAATCCATAATTCAGTTTTTTATTCCCTATTAATTAATGAACACCTAGGATAATTTCCAGGTGATATTATTCTATCATTTTACTCTCATCAGACCCTGAGAGATGAGTTTCATGTCAAGATTTGTTTTATTTAATGCTTATTTACCAAAGCAATTTATTTAT